CGGCTCACACAGTCTTCGCTCAGGAAGGAGGGCTCCAGAGGAAATTAATGTATGCAGTAGCCAAATCGCTCACTCACAACCAATGTTCCCTCTAAGCCGCGCAGTATTGTGAGCAAAAATTCTACTTTGTGAGCTACTGGCATTAAAGCTGTGAGCAAGCAATTTGGCTACTGCATAAATTAGTTTGCTCTGGAGCCATCCTTCCTGAGCCAAGACAAAAATGTGTGAGCTGGAGGCTAAAAAACTGTGAGCTAGCTCACACTAACTCAGCGTAGAGGGAACACTGCTCACAACTTTAATGCCAGCGGCTCACCTAGTAGAATTTTTGCTCACAGGACTCCACAGCTTAGAGAGAACATTGGTTACAGTCTCAGAATTTTGAAATCTGTAGCTCTCTGATCCTCTGCGAAGATGGCTTTCCCATTCATCCTATAAGGATCGAATCTTCATGCTACATGAGATACCCATGAGTGAATATTCTGACTTTTAAAAAACATCAGACCTGAAACACAACCTTGGGGCCTGTGAATTTGTTCACAGTGGCGGTGATGAATGCTTAATACCTTTCTGTGCCATTTTCCTGATCGAAATTGTACCCCAAGAGGCTATGTGCTGTGTGGGTGTATTTCTTCTCAGTGCGTCAAGCAGCAGCTTGGGGGGGGGGGGGATTTGACCAGGAAAATGGCATGCGGGAAAGATGTAAATACCCCTAACCTTTACTACGTTGCAAGTATTCCCCTTTCTCCAAGCAGCATAGGATCATAGAGTTGGAAGGGATCTCCCGGGTCATCTAGTCCAACCCCATGCACAATGCAGGGAATATGCAAATACCTCCCCCCCACACCCCCAGTGACCCCTGTTCCATGCCCAAAAGGTGACAAAAAAACCTCCAGGACCCCCAGCCAAACTGGCCTGGAGAAAAATTGCTTCCTGTCCCCAAAGTGGTGATCAGCATTTCCCTGTGCATGTAAGAAAGGGCCACAAGCATTTCTCTCTGTGTTTTTTTTTTAAGTATCAGGAGATCCAGTCATGTAATGTGCCCATCTCTGGGCATGTGTCTCTAAGGGATATAATAATGAGTAGGACTCTGTCACAGCCTCTGCAGCTATTGAGGCGGAAGAGGAAGGGGTTAACCTTTGGTTACATCTTGGCTCCATTGATAGGAGTAGCAGCGTCTAAGTCCCCTTAGACCACAATTCAAAATCTGACACACACACACCCCCCCCCTATAAACTAGCTACTGACCATGGAAATAGGCTCTAGATGACAAACTTAAGATCACCTTACTGAATAGTATGATCAGTTTCTGGATTCTTCCTTTGGCCTTTTGACAGCCTTCCTGGTTGTGATTATACCCACGATTATCTTTGCGGGAGATGAAAAGGATCGCTACCAAAGTACCCAAACTACAACTTTTTAAAAACCATTATCTCCGTCTGCAGAATGGATTTGCATAAATAAGTGACGACTAATCCTTTCAGATGTCAAAGATTACTCAGCTCCTGTCAGAAGCCACATAAATCAGTTCTTAAGAAAAAGGAATTGGGATCCGCAGCTGCTTCAGAAGTCGCTGCCTTGTTTCAAAGCCTTGAATGCCTACCTAATTGCACTCTTTGCTACAAAAACCGTGGCTCCCGGTTACTTAGGAAATAGTTTAAAATTCAAGCAATGTGCAGGAAAGGCAATGGGACTTGCTCTGCCTTCTGTTCAGAGCGTTCGGCGGTTTGGCTAATTATCATGTATTCACTCCATGAAGAATAGCCTGAAGGAAGCTGAAATTCTTAAGCAGGCTGGCAAGCGGCACCCTTCAGCTCATAAACCCGCCTGACTGGCTTTGACTGTTTCCAAGAGCGCCTGCATGAAGATGTTTGAGGGGCTGTATTAAACTGGGGGGGGGAACCACTGGGAAAAACCTACTGAAAGCAAATCCGTAATGAGGGAGATATTGAGCATGTCAAAACAGATCTGAGTCCGGTAGCATCATAAAGACTATCAAGATTTCAAGGGTATAAGCCTTCAAAATTCAAAGCTCCCTTCAGATGCTACTCCCTTTAAGGTGCTCCGGGACTAGGCTGCAGCCATGGGGGGCAATGCCCCCTCCCAAATGTGCCCTGCCCCTCCTTGGCCCCTTGTCTCTCAGGCGCCCTCCCCTCCCTCAGCAGCCCCAGACCAGAGCAGCCCCCGCCTGCCTGAAGACCGGCTCCACTCATGTGAGGGGCCAGCGCAGTCCTGTGAGGAGCCACAGCTGCTCGCTGGGATGCTGTGCCCGGCCCGTGCTTCTTTGGCTGGGACACCACACTCCCCCTCCCCTCCCCAGGTTGGTCACTGAGACACCAATGGGATACTCACTGGGACACCGTGCTCCTCCTCTGGCAGCAGCCTCCCCCCCCTGCGGCCCGGCACACTCTGCCTCTCCTGTCCCCAGACCGGGCTTCTTTGGCACGCTCTGCCTCTCCCCTGCCCAGCCTGGAGGTCACTTTTCAGCGACTTAAGTGCAGAGGAAGAGCCTGGCCTGGACTCCTGTTGGGGGGGGGGGATAAAAAGATCTGACTGAGCACTGTTCACTTTGACTCACACTTTAAAAAAAAAGCCAAAGGCTTATGAACAAATTTTAGCACACCAAAAAACCCTGGTTTTTCACTGTGCCTCAGCAGCTCTGGCTCCTCATAATTCACTCCAGGTTTCCTCTTTTGCCCAGCAGACTCGGACATAGCCTCATTGCTTAAAACTCCGCCCCGCAGCTCCAGTTTCAGCTGCTGCTACAGCCGACAGAGACCCAGGGCTATTTTTGGGCAGGAACGCACAGGAACGGAGTTGTCCGGTCCCCCACAGCTATTAATCCAATACATGTTTAGGCAAAGTAGTATTTTATTAAAGCTATGATAGAGCAGGAACAAGTTCACTGTCCAGAATGCCTGGGCCAGGGTGGGCAAGGAATAATGTAAGACATTCAAACAGGGTAATAACCAATAATCTCCATTCCCGCCGAGCGGGCAGACTCCAGGTTACGCGCTCAAAAGCCTGAGAAGCAACGTTCCTTAAAACCTAAACAATTACAGCTTCACACGGTGCAGTTCATTATACATTTGGCAAAGCAGCTCCCCCACACACCTGTTAACCTTGCAGATAAGTGTTGCCTAGCGTTTACAGACAGGAATGCATGAGACAAGATCATACACAGGGAAGATAGGGCATGCGCAGATGCCAGGGGAGGGGGGGGGAACCAACTGCCTCCCAGTCTTCTATGGCAGCTAGCTGACAGGAGTTCAGGCTGGCTTCAGAGTTGGCCATGCCCACTCCAAGGCAGGCGGGCCGGCCAAGGGGGCCCTGGAAGGATCGGGGAGGCATTTAAATGTCTCCCCATGCCTTCCCCAGGCTGTCCAAGGGCCGGCTTGTCTGGGCTCCCCGCAGCCGCGGGACGCCTGGGCAAGCCAAGGGAAGGCAGTTTAAACTGCCTCCACTCCAAGGGCTGGCTTACCCCGGGCTCCCCACAATGGAAGGCATGGGGGTGTGGCCTAATATGCTAATGAGTTTCTGCTGTTGGGTGTGGCCTATTATGCTAATGAGTTCCTGCAGGGCTTTTTCTACAAAAAAAGCCCTGCAGAGACCCCTCCCCCAATGATCTGTCTTTACCATTTTCTAAGTTCAGGATAAACAGAAAGAAAGGTTTCTTGATACAACCCATAATTTATATTGCAGTTTTCCATTCCAGTGTGGTGATCGCTTAGGCCTAAAGAAGATACCTTCCCAGAGGTTTTTAAAGGAAAAGTATAGCTGCACACAGTCCTGATTTGGACTGAGGCGGGTTAACCTTTCCATCACCACATGTTTTCACATACTGAAGCCAACCCACCATGCTGCTATAACTTTAGCAGGAAAAAATACAGGCATCGATCTTTGCCTGTCCTTTTTTCTTTGTGAGATTAACAGCAGCCTATGGGGATTTCAATACGCAAGAGCATGCAAGGGTTGAAGGATTAATTCCCCTCTCCCTATATACAGTGGCCTCAATCCAAATTGAGGCTTGGCATTTACTTTTTTACAATGCTGGAAAGATCTGGCCACGGATCTCCTTGTAGCTCATATAAGTTAGCTCTTAGGGCCCATTCACACATTACAAAGTATTTGCAGCAGACACATGGCTGCCGCAAGGATTTCGGGTCAGATGTACTCCTCAGTTTTGGTCCACATGTGCTAGAAACTCAGTTTCCAGCTGTGCATGCACCCAAGTAAGATTGGGACCATGGCACTCAAGAAGAAAAGGCCTCAATCTTTCCTACCATGACCCTTTTCTGGCCTGAAACTGTGCCACTTTGGTAAAACATAAAAACATTGCCATTAGTACATGCAGGTTTCCCAGTGGGCAAGCAGGAGCTCCGTAGGGCCATTTCAGGTTGGGAAAAGAGATCAGGAAGTAGGGAAGGGTGAAGACCCTTTGAGTTATGTACCGTGGTCCTGACCTGAACTGTGCCTGAGCATGCCCGGTAAGTCCCCAGCTGGGAATTCCCAGAAAACGTCTACAGAAAGTCCACATGGCGAAAGGCCCCTTGGGCTTTGTAATGTGTGAATAAGCCATTAGGTGGCTTTTTTAAAAGAATCAGACAAGTTCATGAAGCAGCCTAACCATGTCTTTAAGTTACAAATCCTAAATGAAATTTCTGTATTTAGTAGCCTTTTGATTACCAGATGCTGGAGAGAAACTAAAAATAGTGGCTTTCTCACCATCATATCCTATTTATGAGTTCCCTCAAAATATCAGTTGCGGGAAACAGTCCCTGACTGTGGGTCTTCTGGTCCCGCAAGGCAATTCTGACAAGTGTTCATGAAATGATTAGATTCATCATTTTAATCAGTACATAAGCTGAAAAACTGGCCTCAGCCCTCGTGCAGAAACTACTGAATTGTTAGATAGATCTATCACTATTGCTTTAAAAAGGAAACTGAGAAAGGACAACACTAGATTTTTGTTAGCTTGCGACAGCGTTTTAGCAGAGATTTACCTTCCTCATTGACGTGCCTCCTTGACGCTCAACGGCAGAACTTGCATATCTAGGCAGAGATTGAGAAAAGAGAGTTTATAAACTCAAACACACACAATCTAAAAAAAAATAATTGAAAAATACAGTTTACTCCACGAGGGCCTGCAGATTTACACGCCTGCTCCTGGGGCTTAGTCCCATAGCATGCCTCACTTACACAGAGACATTCTCTAAAAAGGATGAATGAAACAATCGCTTCCTCGGGTAAAAGAAGATGAGCGTAGCAAAAGCTTTCAAGTTCCTTCAATCACTGCATGCCACTTCTGTTTAGATTTCAAAAACGTAAACCCAAGTCTCTCTTCTCTCAAAACGCTACTTAAGAAAAGGTGGGTAAATCGGTCTCCAGGGTGAAAAATGTAAACTGATTCTTGGGAGAGCATCTGTTTTCTCAATCCTCAAAGCTGATTAGCTGGTCTCGATTAATGCAAGCAAAAGGGTGGCGAGAGAAGGGGGGGGGGGTGGGGGGGGGGTTGGGGATGGGGAGGTGGACTGCAATCATCCCCAGGCCGGTCTGTAAGCACACGAGGCATTTCTGCTCCTGAAGCTAAGCAGGTCTGGCCCTGTAAGCTGCCGGGTGTGTGTGTGTGTGTGGGGCTGCAAGGGAACCATGCATGAACTGCGGTACCCACACTCCAACCGCCCAAGCTAGGCTCCTATTTTCTCATATCTGTCCCTGGGAAATCAGAGCCCCCATTCTGTCTTTGGGGGATGCCCAAACATTTTACAGTCTGAATTGTTCAAGTCATCCTTGTTTTGGTTTTATCCACCTCCAAAGGATCTTTAGACGTGAAATCTTTGAATGGGCGAGTGGACGCGTCTGGACTCTAGCATGCACACGTGCACTGGAGCATGGACACTAAGGCTCTAGCTACTCAACACATTTTCTTTTCGCAGGGCTCTTTTTGTAGAAAAAGCCCAGCAGGAACTCATTAGCATAATAGGCCACACCCAACAGCAGGAACTCATTAGCATATTGGGCCACACCCCTAACAGCACAGCTCATTAGCACATTAGACCGCACCCCCATGTTATCAGAAGTGTGGTTATCCAGCCACACCCACCTTTTGCTTGTTATTCTGTTTACCTTGTTTGTTGTCAAACCCCAGGGCTTTTTTGTAGCAGGGACTCCTTTGCATGTTAGGCCACACACCCCAAATGTAGCCAATGCTAATGAGTTCCTGCTGTTGGGTGTGGCCTATTATGCTAATGAGTTCCTGCTGGGCGTGGCCAACTTGGGAGCCAGCCGGAACTCCGTTCCTGTGCGTTCCTGCCCAAAAATAGCCCTGCAGTTTTGTGTTTATTTTTACATACTCCCCCCACCCTTTCCAAATGCAGCTGCAGGCTATTTTATTTTTATTTACAATGTTTAAGGGGAATGGCACGTGAGGGGGGGAAGAGACGTTTTAACCCTTTTCTCCCTGGAAAAAAAAGCTGCTGTACCCCTGCAGAGGAAAAATGATGGTCGCCCATAAATATTCCACAGTGAGGGTACAAGCAACTTAGGCTTTTTTAAAATAGGAAGACAGCAAGGGAGAAAATGGTTAAAGAGCCTTTCTCTTCCTCATGCTGTTTCTAGGGATGGCAGCCTTGACCTAGAGTCTGAGAATCCCCTGGAATTACAGCTCATCTCCAAACTACAGAGATCAGTTCCTGTGGAGAAAATGGATGCTCTGGAGGGTGGGACTCTATGGCATTGGGACCCACCGAGGTCCCCGTCCTCCCAAGCAGCATTCCCTCTAAGCTGTGGAGTCTTGTGAGCAAAAATTCTACTTTGTGAGCTCCTGGCATTAAAGTTGCGAGTGAGCCACTTAGCTACTGCATACACTAGTTTGCTCTGGAGCCATCCTTCCTGAGCCGAGACAAAACTGTGTGAGCTGGAGGCTAAAAAAACTGTGAGCTAGCTCGCACGGACTCAGCTTAGAGGGAACACTGCTCCCAAGTCTCCATCTCCAAATCCCCAGGAGTTTCCCCTCCTGGACCTGGCAACCCTACCCCCCACCCCCCACCGGTGGCCAAGGGGGACCCGGAAACCCCAAGTCAGCCTTGAAAAAGCAGCCCCCAGTAGCTGCATTTGGAAAGGGGGAGGGACCTTTTCACGGTGACATGGAAGGAGATGTAATGGGCAGTTTTTGACCTTAAGTCTCCCTGCAGCACATAAATTGCCATCGTACACATTTCAGCCAGGAAAGTATGTTTTGAGGCCTGCCTTTTTCCTAGTATATCTTTAAGTGCAGGAACAATGACCTTCTGGCTTTTAAATCACTGGGGAAGATATCAAATAATAGACGTGTATAGTATACAACGGGCAGAGAGGAGCCACCATTAGCATGTAACGATGTGAGTGTGCGTATGTTTGTTGTCGTTGTTCTGAAGAGGGCATAGTCAACAGCTTTTAGTACAAAAATAGAAGAGCTACAAACATGACTATTAAAAAAATAACAACAACCCATCAAGAGGTGACCCTCAACAAGATGCTAAAAGCAAATGCGTATTTATTCAATAAAGCATTCCAAGTTGCTATGCCTGATACAGAAAGTACCAAAATAATCTCTACTGTCTTTCTGTTGTGCTGCTATCATTCTTCCAAGGAGCTTGGGGAAGTGTACAGGGTCTCCCATCCTGCGTACTGGCCTCACAACAGCCCCGCGTGGTAGGCGAGGCTAGGCGAGAGTGACTGGCTCAGGGTCACCCAGTGAAATTGACAGCTCAGTGGGGATTTGCGCCTGGGGTCTCCCCAGTCCCGACACCCTAACCCAGGGGTCCCCAACATTTTTGGGCTTGCAGGTACATTTGGTATCCTAAAATGGCATGGTGGGCGCAGCCCCTTCATGGCTGCTGCACGAGGCAGCATCAGCCACAAATGGCTGCTGCAGATCACTTTCAGTCACCCACTGAAGATCCTTGTGGTGTGATGGCAGCTGCTGCCAAAGCAACATTTTTTTTTAAAAAAAAAATTGGCACCGCCAGTCATCTCATATGGCCAATTGGAAGCGTTGCTGGACAAAAGCCCCACCTGGCCCTGCCCACTTTCTAAAAACACGTGGCCAGTGCCAGGAAAGGTTTCTGCAGGCTCCGTGGCACCCACAGGCACTACGTTGGGGACCCTTGCTCTGATCTTCTAGGCAACAGTGGCCCATTGTCAGAGGAACTATCAGGGCTATTTTGGGGCAGGAACGCACAGGAACGGAGTTCCGGCTGGCTCCCGAGTTGGCCACGCCCAGCAGGAGCTCATTAGCATAATAGGCCACACCCAACAGCAGAAACTCATTAGGATTGGCTACATTAGGGGTGTGTGGCCTAACATGCAAAGGAGTTCCTGCTACAAAAAAAGCCCCGGGTTTTGACAACAAACAAGGTAAACAGAATAAGAAGGGAAAGGTGGGTGTGGCTGGATGAGCACACTTCTGGTAACATGGGGGAGTGGCCTAATATGCCAATGAGCTGTGCTGTCAGGGGTGTGGCTTATTATGCTAATGAGTTTCTGCTGTTGGGTGTGGCTTATTATGCTAATGAGTTCCTGCTGGGCTTTTTCTACAAAAAGAGCACTGGAAGAGATGGTCAACAAAATAGAAGGAAGAAAGAGTGCTGCAACTTATATTCCTATGATTTTTACACTTCTGACGAACACTACCCTTGCATCAAAAACGAGTCAAGCATAGAAATCATGGGAATGCTTCAATGAATAAACATATCAATATGTTGTCGAAGGGTTTCACGGCTGGAGTTCATCAGTTGCTGTAGATTTCCCGGGTTCTATGGCCGTGGTTTTGACATTGTAGGACCTGACGTTTTGCCAGTAGCTGTGACTGGCATCCTCAGACGTATAACACAGAAAGAAGGTGAGAAGAAAAATGGTAGGCAGGTAATTTATATCTACACAGGAAGGTGGGGTAGGGCTGAGTCATTATCTTGTAGGAGTTCCATCTTTCTGTGTTATACCTCTGAGGATGCCAGTCACAGCTACTGGCGAAACGTCAGGTTCCACAATGCCAAGACCACGGCCACACAACCCGGGAAATCTACAGCAACTTATAAATACATCCATTTTTTCCCCAGCTCTGTGTTGAAGTTTGCCTCTTTTAAAATGTGTTTTGTAGTCAGGAGTTTGGGACCCTTCCCTCTT